CTGTATGCGTTCATGGGCAACTGTATGCTGAAAGAGAGAGTGAGTGAGTTTAGTTTTACGCCGTTTTTAGCAATATTCCAACAATATCACGGCGAGGGACACCAGAAATGGACTTCATTCATTGTACCCTAGTGGGGAATCGAACCCGGGTCCTCGGCGTGACGATCGAAAGCTTTAACTACTAGGCTACCCCGCTGCCCCTTACATCTTAAGACACCATATGACAGGTGCTGGTGATCAAAATAGTAAGATGTCACGACATATTTTAGATACATATTGTTACGGATTAAAACTTACCGTGACAAAAGTCTGGTGAGTCCCCTTTAGCCAGCAAAACAGAAGACAGACACGTCTATGATATTCAATACTATATTGAATACTTGAATACCATATTTAGTGTCAGTCAAATCAACTTTAAACTTTGCTGTTGCCTTCTTCCTGCTTGGGCCCTTCCCCTTACTTTTGCCCTTCCCCTTGCCACCTTCTGACGTAACACTTTGTGACGCCATTGCTACACCTTTGTCCAAGGGACAACTACTGACAAGTTCGTCGATGGTATCAGACCCATCCCCATGGGAAGTATATTGTTTGTATACATGCTATTATTGGGCCTCCACGAAAACCTGCCGATACGTCCGAAAGGCATTACAACCTGATAACAACATATCGTATGTGTCAACTGTATCAGTCAAACTTTCAATTGTATTACAGTGCCAATTTTGTGGGGACAAGAGTGGATCCATTTGCATATTGTAGTCAGGCGGTGGGGCCAAATGAACAACTGTCGTTATGCAGCTCAGACAACTCTTACTTTCTGCTAAAACCCTCCACTTTCGTATTAGCACCTGGTTATTGTCGAAAAGTGTCACTAGGTCATGATCAGTCTTTAATTTAACTGGTTCCTTGGCTTGAATGTCGAGCCATGACAATAGATTAGTATGTGAACCTGAGAGAGCAGTTCTTGATAACAATTCTGCAACTTTCTTGCTTCCGGTTGCCAAGTAACAAAACACACTGTTGGTAAATGAGATAGGGGCTATGGTTGATGGGTGTTTGGAAAACAATATTTGTTCCATACATTTTGCGATTGAAAGTTCGGTGGCACTGTCAGTACAGCCCTTTAAAAAGTTTACACACACACTATTTTGTTTTGTTAACCATTCTCCTGGCTCATAGTTGGTTAGTGTGTCCGCGTTCGGACCATTAGTTGCCTTGGCATCATGTAATAAATTCACCTTCTGTGTTTCTCCCAAAGCATAGGCTATTTTGGACAAGACATCATTTTGAAATTTCCCCCTTTGTATTGTCTGTATTATTTCATCAAGTTCTTTCTTGGCACAATCGGCGCATGCTGTGCACAATGCAGACTTGGTGGTTGACGTTGAAAGTTCATTTTCAATCAAATTGCTAAGTAAACAATGTTTGCAGGAATCTTCCGCCACCTAATTTTCAATATCTTAAAGTATTTTCCTGATGAAAAACGGTCATGTTCTTTACGCCCACTGTCCATGTTGCAGTCATGATAATTATTATGCTTTATGGACCTTTTTGTACCTAAAACGTGTGTTTTGTATGGCGTTCTTATCCAATCAGAATGTGGATTAATTGTTATTTTTTTAAACGCTTTTCATTTTCTATCCTTTACATCTTTTGTTAAAAACGTGGCACAACAGTGTTCCATACATTTATTGCTAACGTTTGGGTTTTGCTGTTTTCTCCGTTTTTTACAGGTCCGTTTCCCGTCATGAACGCATGCGCATTGCGTCAGTCAAGGAGACGCTCACATGTGGGTTGCAACAACAAGAACTTTCACGGTTTGTAATGACTTCATTCGCCCATTTTCTTGTTTGTGTAATGGTGGGTGGTTGTTGTTTATTGACTGTGCATGAAATACGATATCGTTTCAAATTCTGAAAGTTGTGTGATGATGTAGTGGTGTTGACGGAGCATTGAATACCGAGCGACGGAAAATGCGGTATTTTGGCTATGTCGCATACGAGTCGGAAACGTGACATGATAGCTCGTTCGGCCTATTTCGTTATCGGTCTTATGGGCTATAATAGGCCGTTCAGTAGGTTTCCCCAACCTGGTATATGCATTGGAAAGGAATCCATGTCCTCGATCAATCGCCTCATGATATATATGCATTGGAAAGGAATCCATGTCCTGGATCAATCGCCTCATGATCTTAACACATGAACACATCCTTCATACGAAACTTCTTCACAATTTGCATTCATAATATTGTATAAATCTACAGTCCCGATATACAAGTATCCAAATAAAAACAGGTGACGTCCATCCACAAGTTAATCCACGTGTGTCCAGCTGAACATTAAACTCATCTGAGGAAACTACCTGTAACGCGATCATCTCGTGCGGTGCACGGCCAACAGTGAAACAGCGTCACTGAGTAAGACTGAAATAAGTTTAGGCCTGAAGTGTACGTTTACTCAAGTGAGATATCGTGTTATAAATGCAACATAAATATCGGATAAATGCACAATGGAATACAGGAACAGTGCATATCAACACATAGTCCACTTTAAAAACTAAATCGTATTATGTTTGGAGTTATCCCCCCTTTGTTCATGACCACTTCCGGGGAGCAACGTCAAAAGCGACGTCATTGCACGGTATCCTGCATGCGTTATTTGTAGTCCTCGCAAATCAACAGCATGAGCGCGATGAGTTGGAGATTTTACGTGCGCATTCCGACATGATGGTATATTTCGCACCCCACCGTCCCAACAAGCAACAGAAGTAACAAGCAAGCTATACACAACATTATGGATAAAGAGAATACATATATACATGAAGGATAATGGAGTTTATACAATTGACGAGGTTGATATCAGGTGTTTTATAGTTGATGTTAGAATTAATTACAGATTTTAGTATCGTGATACGTATCGTATCGCCACCCTTTTATCGGGATTCGTATCGTATCGCAGCTTCAGTGCACAATACTTTGGCAATATATCGTCGTGACTAAAATTTTAGTATCGTGATGTATCGTATCGCAGGTTGTGTGACAATACCAGCACTTACAAAAAGGGCGAAGTGAGTAAGTTTGGCTTTACGACGCTTTTAGCAATATTCCAGCAATATCACGGCAGGGGGACACCAGAAAGGGAATTCACACATTGTACCCATGTGGGGAATCGAACCCGGGTCTTCAGAGTGACGAGCGAACGCTTTATCCACTAGGCTACCCCACCGGCCCTCAAAAAGGGCTAATATTTGTTGAACATGGCACCAGGCTGTGAAACGTTAGAAATGTAAGTTGTAGGGCTGCGCAATATAACCGGTTTACCGGTATTTACCGGTTCAGACATGGAATCGATACGTATTGCGATACGCTGATCGAAAACCGGTATTTTGACATGAATTCGGAAAACACTCGGAAATCTTCGCATATTTCCGTTTTTTTAAATTGTTCCTTTCCTTGTTTCATTTGTGCCAAACATTACTTACATTTATTTTTTGCCATGATTAAAAGTTTTTTTAAAGCCTAATCAAGCATTGTGATTTTGTTGTGTTTTTGCTTTACAAATCAAGCATTAACTCGATTATAAGTATTTTTTTTGTTAAAAAAAATTATTCTTGCAATATATTGCAATACATATCGCACTACATGCTTTCGGATCGCAATAGTTCGCAATACGAAAATTCCCTGCAATACCCATCCTAGTAAGTTGAAATGAGATTATAACGTCACGTTCATTGTTACTACACATGTGTCACTCACTCCCTCACTCACTCAATCAATCACTGAACACGGATCCCCTACTTGAACCCAGCCAGGAAATCAACAAGAACCGGGGTTCGAACCACCATTTTCCTGGGAGACCACGACTATAAAACAATAGGAATACTTACATGATTTTAATACGCCTCTGGTGTAGGATGTTAGGATAGGATGGAGTCAACCGGATTATAGCAATAGTTTGTCGTAAGAGACGACTGACTTGGTTCATGCCATCGTATTTCAGTTGTGTAGATCAATGCTCATGATTCCATCACTGGATTGTCTGGACCAGACTCCATTATTTACAGGACGCTGTCATATAGATGGAAAATAGGTGAGCTCGACGTTAAACAATAAACTAAGAATACAGTTAATGTGTTTCCTGCACATCCTGTGCATACACTTTGCACCTTACATATATTTGGTGCCGTTACTATTACGTTTCCATGGTGACAAGCATCCGTGGAGGGATTTGGTTTGTTGCTTAACGTCGCAGTCAGCAATATTCAAGCTATATGACGGTGGTCTGTAAATAATCGAGTTCAGTGATCAACAGCATGAGCATCGATCTACGCAGTTGGGATATGATGACATGTGTCAACCAAGTCAGCGAGACTGGCCACCCGATCCCGTTAGTCGCCTCTGACTACAAGCATAGGTTACTGAAAAATAATTCTAACCAAGATCTGCACATAATTGAAGGACAACTACACATATATATTAACAAACATATAAATAGTGTGCAGAAAATATTAACTACAAAAGAATGAGTATAGTAATTTCTGCCAGAGAGGACTTCAAATCTCCGTCAAGAGCTCGAGGAAACCTTGTCCACCGGTGTGATTAAAGCACTCCAGTATCTTTCATCAGGGCATATCAGGGCATCCTCCTTCACATAATTATTATGAGTGAGTGAGTTTAGTTTTACGCCGCTTTTAGCGATATTCAAGCAGTATATATCACGACGGGGGACACCAGAAATGGGCTTCACACATTGTACCCATATGTGGAATCGAACCCGGATCTTCGGCGTGACGAGCGAACACTTTAACCACAAGGCTACCCCACCGACCCCATAATTATGTGTGCTTTGGTTTGCGTCAATAACCCTCATCATGAGCCGGATCTCACCCCCAGTTATCTGCTCTTATCTTACCGGTGTAATGTTGTTGGTGTCACAGAAGACGTCAGTCATTAACCTTTAGACCCATGAACATCCGGGTTAGATTTGGTCTTCATCAACCTATATAAGCGACTCTGACCTAGGAAACACACATTGATGGGCTGAGACAGTTCTGGCCGTCACCATGGGGTTTCAGATCAGTGGTCCTCTTTTGTGTCTTGTTGTGATGGCTTTGTTACTGCCCGGTGGCCTTGCACATCAAGAACCTCGTCAATTCCTTCTTCTTAAGCAATTGATGGGTGACAATACCAGGAGGATAGCTGTTATTCAGGACAAACAGAGACTGGAAATTGAGACACTGAAACGTGGACTTAACCATCGTATTGAGGAACGTGTCAAGTATCTTTTCCGGAAGTGGGCTGGGATGCCTGAAATACGTAAGTACAACAAAATACTGTGTCTGTTTGTGTATTACAGAGAGACATTTGTAGCGCATTTTCCAGTGTTTAGCTGCACAAATGTGCTCAGGTCATGATAGATTGTACTACTGCCCGTGCCATTGGTTCAGTTTCGTTTTTAGCTCTCAGAAAACAATCCATGTTGACTATGAGGCGCTCCAAGGTAAACAGCCACATTACTGTCTCCTCCTATCGGTACCCATTCACTTCTGGGTGTCCAGGCTTATACGTCAATTCTCGTCGGAGAAACACTGAACTTCAAAAGCGTCTAGCATAACACGTATAATAGACTGGGTATTTTAAAAGTATGATTTATTAATGATAATTATTGATAAGAGCTTACCAGGCCTTCGTTTGAGCATTGTATCTAAGATTTTGACCCTTTAAGGTCCGGATCAGACTCGGTCTGCAGCAACACATGCTTGTCGTAAGAGGCGACAAATGTTATCGGGTGGTCAGGCTCACTGAATAGGTTGACAGGTCATCGTATCACAATTGCTTAAATCGATGCTCATGAGGTTGATCATTGGTTTGTTTGAACTCGAATATCTACACACTGCCGCCATATGCGGCGTTAAACAAGAGACAGAAAACAAAAAATAAGTTTTTGAAGCAATTTTCGTATACGTGCTTCAAGTATTATTCTATAACATGTAACATCTGTTATATTTAGGAACGGATTCTGGTACTTTTGTTGGGTTGAGTCCCATCCGGGATTCGAACCCGCACCCTCAGAGTCAGGCACCTAATAACATTCTATAACATGTTTCGTATCATGAATGACACTTTCATGTCACGATGATTTTCGTCTGTTTTAGCAATCTACTGCCCATATCCTGTGTTGTCTGATAAATTACTGGAGGTGGGTTGTAAAGGGCCATTCACGGAGGGTCAGACGTGTAAGCTCAAGTGTCCCATGTCAGTTCCACTGAGGGGACCTGCTTACATCACGTGCACTCGATCTGCAAATGACTATACAGGCTACTGGGCGGCAGTCGACGGTGAAGAGCCAAAGTGTGATGGTAAGTACCACAAAAAACAGACTGATGGGGGGTTGGCGGGGTAGCCTAGTGGTTAAGGCGTTCGCTCCTCATGGGTGCAATGTGTGAAGCCCATTTCTGGTGTCCCCCGCCGTGATATTGCTAGAATATTGCCAAAAGCGGCGTAAAAACATAATCACTCACTAAACTCGCACAGACTGATGATAAGGAACTTAGTGGAGGCGAGGATTCAGAATACTTAACAGTAAATGGTGTAAGAGACGTACCGCTTGGTTGATTGTATAACAGAAATACGATCACAAAAAGGTTTTTACACACGATGCTATGAGATGTGACTGAGATGACAAACAAAAGCCAGCGCTCCAGCAATACACAACAATATATTGCTTGAAAATTCAACGCAGAGACAGATCTTTCAAGAACACTCTGGGTCAGAGTGAGTGAGTGAGTTTAATTTGACGTCGCTTTTAGCAATATTCCAGTAATATCACGGCGGGGGACACGAGAAGTGGCTTCACACAATGTGCCCATGTGGGGAATCGAACCCGGGGCTTCGGCGTGACGAGCGAACGCCTTAACAATTAGGCTACCCCACCTCCCAGATGCATAAAGTAGCATCTCTACACTTTAAGAGATCTTTAGTGGAAACGTTGTTATCCGTAGCCTAGTGGATAGAGCGTCTACCAAGAGGGCGGGAGGTCAGTGGTTCTAGCCCCGATCGCTTCATACCAATTGCGGTTACTTGGTGTCTCCCTGTCTGGAGCGTTTAGGAGATAAAGGGTACACTGGCTCGGCGGAGCAGCCATGTTAACCTGCGGATTGGTATCTCAGTGGCTCAGCAATGGGATACTGGCACTTACTAGAACAAGCAGACTATTGATTATTTTAACAGACAGCCGCTATATAGCTGGGAGGCTGCTGAGTGCGGCGTTAAACAGCAAGCAATGAATCTCAACCATCCTGTAATTCCATAACAACCATTGTTTTCTGTTGCAGTACCAACATGTCCACCACTGCCAGCACCTCGCAATGGTGCTCTTGTTTGTGATAAATGGTCCGGCGGTTCATCTTGCCAGCTACAGTGCAGAGAAGGATATGACATTTCAATCAGTAAAAACTTCATGCAGACCGCTTTCCTCTGCTCCCGTGATGGTGTTTGGAATCACCAGAATGTACCACATTGTACATGTAAGTATACACATGTTGGATCAATTACGATAACGATACACGTAAATGAGGTGTGGTGTCATATGTTTTGGGGGTCGTGACAAAGGGATAGATTTTCCTGTATCAGGCGTTTCAGATGTGTATGTCCTGGTATATAATGTGACGAAACCTTATAAAGCGGGGGGAAGGGGAAGGGTGTTGATGAATTTTCTAGAGAGGCAAGTACAATGTGATTGTCAACTCTCTAAAGTTTATGTACAAAGTAAGTGACCCCCTGCATGTCTCTCTCTCTCTCTCACTCTCCAAAAATACATGCACTGTGTGGAACAAGCCCACAACCCAGCCAGATATCAGGGTTGGTGGTAACTTCAAAATGTTACCAGACAAAAATGGATTTAACGAGACCAGACAACCCGAAGTAAATTACCCAGATGCATCGAACATGTTATCTCAAATTTTATCAGACCACCCCCACCCCCATAAATTATGAACGGTCCCCTTTGAACATCATGAAAAACGTTTCTATTTTCAGATCGTGAGTTTGGCGACAGATTCAGGTTGCCGGAGAATTACTATTTTACGGGACAGTGCAATCCTGGTAATATAGAAGTGAAGGAATCATTTCTGAAGGAGGTAACTAAGTCAGCTCTTTGCCCGGATAGTAAGTATTGCAAAGTGGAAAATGTGGAGGTCAATTGCGGCGAAGAAGATGATGATGAAGATGAATGGGACTTCTGATTCAACATTCAGAATTGCCCTATTACAGACGCATGCTAACTTGTATATCACTTGCCCGGACTTTTCTCTTGTTTGTATTCTAAACTCAGAACATATTGGCTTAATCTAAGCCTTTCCGTACGCACTACATATTATTTACAGAATCATATAGATGTGCTACTTAATTTACAACTGCGACGGAGCATGACAACATAGCTCTACTGACTGACTGAGTTTAGTTTTACGCCGCTTTTAGCAATATTCCAGCAACATCACGGCGGGGGACACCAGAAATGGGCTTAACACATTATGCCCATGTGGGGAATCGAACCCGGGTCTTCGGCGTGACGAGCCAACGCTTTAACCACTAGGCTACCCCACCGCCCCACATAGCTCTACGTCACGCGAAGCTGTACAACCAGTGTAAATAAGTAAAGTAACTACGCAGATGGAAATAGTTTTTGTTATTTTGTCAATGAAAGAAACTGTTCTATCATATATGGTTATATTGATGTGGAGAATCGTGAAAAAACCTGAGAAAGATAAAAACAAGTAAGCAATATATTGGAAGGACTCTGAAGGAGGTGACGACTGTGCGGTTTCCTGTTGGAGACACTTTGGTGAGCGCATGGAATTCTGGGTAGGAAAGTGTTTACTGGCAAGGCATCGTAAACATGGCGCATCTACTGAACAGGGCAATATTCGAATATTTTTGTACAATTTAAAAAGTTTACACGAGACTGAGAAACAATGCACGAACAGAGTGAGATAATCTAAATGTGTATCGTTGATAGGAATTAAAGTACAGATCGGCGGATATTCTGGAAATTGTGATTGATCCTCGTTGAATGAGCTTGCTTCCAACATTAAAACATCTTAGCTGCCAGCACAGGGGCGTGTCACGCTTAGAAACAGCGTTAGAAAGACATATAGGTATATAGACCCTACCCTAGTACTATATAAAAGGAAAGGGATGTAACGACGAAACCACCCCCTCCTCAATCAAAGTTAGATTTCACCACGTTAACCTTTTTTAAGGCCCCTTCGAGGCCTACGGATCAAAAGCGAGATGATTTCCCTACAAAATGAGCTATAAATGGTCACAATCGGATCATTATTTCAAAAGTTATACGCCACGACTCACCACAAACAGCTACCTCCGCAATTCCAAGCCAAAATCATGGATCACCCAAGACAGCGAAAACTCACCTATTAAATTCGTTTATTAATTCCAGCCACGTTGACAGAACTTATGTAGGGCTAGATTCGATCTGCAGCGGCATTCCACGGGTCTAAAATCTTATTGCAACATCTACAAATCATTTCCTCGACAGTAGGCAGACATTTTCTCCAAAGCCATCGGCAATCATACTCACTTGTCGGCCATAGATGGCCTTGCCATACAACCTTTAGCTGGTGGGACCGTAAAAGAGTCAATGAGTTTCGCCGCTTTGTAAAGCATATGACGCTGTTACATCAGGTTTGAAACTGAACATGCGAGCATATATTCATCATCCACTGAATACATTAATATTTAATAACTACTAGAAGTGATATTGATGGTTCTGTGCACGATGATGTCCTAAAGGATACGCAATACGAGTGAATTTTGTTTAACGCCGCTCCAAACCATGTATCATGCAGCTGTCACGGTATGGATACTGATGTTCGCAGGCAAATACCTTTAGAGAAAGCTGCGCCATGGGATCAGTAGGTGCGAATCCTGGATTCGAACCTACACCTTTGACCACAAAGCTGCAGTGCCATTCAACAGGCTAAATCAATATTTACTCGTCCACTGCTTAGTCAGTAATGATGGTCGCCTTAGGACTCTTTTTTGAGAGTTGAATTAGTGTGTCCTCGCAACAACATAACTGCCTCGCATAGTGATTTAGCTGGGACAGGGTCCCGTTGCAGAATGAGTGAGTGAGTGAGTGAGTTTAGTTTTACGCCGCACTCAGCAATATTCCAGCTATATGGCGGCGGTCTATAAATAATCGAGTCTGGACCAGACAATCCATTGATCAACATCATGAGCATCGATCTACGCAACTGGGATACGACGACATGCAACAACCAAGTCAGCGAGCCTGACCACCCGATCCTGCCTCTTACGACAAGCAGGGGTTACTGAAGACCAATTCTAACCCGGACCTTCCTCGGCCCCCGTTCCAAGACAATTGTAACTTCCATACTTTAACACTAAATCACACTCTCTGTACGCAGAACGGGGTACTGGGCCCTTTACATTGGGAGCTATTGAAAAATAAAAGGCTATTCCAAAATCGAAACAAAAAGATTAAAAAGATCAAATTTATTTCGAAAATATAAACACCAATCAATTTAAATCTTAACATGATCAGAACTATCAAAACGTTTAATGAATGCATATGTACATAAAAATACAGCTTTCAGGCTTCCAACTGGTGATATCGTCCTGATTACTGAGGGTTCACATACAGTGAAGCCCGTTACTGAGGGAGGCGTTGTCCCTCGTTAAACCGAACTTATCTGTCCGTATTTGTTTCTGTGCTTCCGATCTCCCGCAGCCCTGAAATTTCGTTTAGACGTGAAACAATAAAACATTTTCTTTTCTCAGTTTTCCCCGAAGTTGTGGAAATGTATGTCTTCTTGTCATGAAAGAAACATAAATACTCGTACACTTGCGTAACAAAGCAGGTGCATCATTCTACATTTACTGAAAACCTGTTTCCGACTCTACACACAAACAAAAACTAAACAAAACCAAGTGATTAAATTTTATAATTTCACAAGAAACTTATACAATTAGTGAAAGGGATTTTTCTATATACAATGTATCTTTACTTTTGTCACCCGACCGATTTCTTGCTGGTTCAGGCTGGAGAGGAGAAACACATACAGGATGGCCTAATGTTCACTGTATCACAGAACACTTTAGCGAAGTCCATGACTATTCAAGGATCAAACCCTTCTTCAAGGGTCCCATGGAATTTGAATGAATTTCGCTAAAATATCTCGTCATTGTATGAGCTACAGTACATGTCTCAATCAGTTCATTAACAAGCTGTCTAAGAATTCATTTTTTAAGGTTTAACAGAGAACGTCCACAAGACAAGTGTGTTATTAAGTTGAGTTACTTGACAGTATACACAATCAAACACAAAGGTTATTGCATCGTAGTCTGTGATCGTGTTTAACTTCACCTAAACTCTTTCAAATAAAATCATAACGTTAAAGAAGTTATACACAGACTGTAACATATAAGATACAAGATAGCCAACTCCATCAAGATTCCAATCTGTCTAGAGCAGATTGTTTGAAGGATCCGGATTAACGGACCCGTTGTATGTCATAGATTCATCAAACAGTAGAATGATGATACCAACTTTCACCCAGACCGGTGGGCACGCACCCAACCCTTTTGTTTAGAAGCATAAACTGTTGAATGACATATTTTCGCCAAAATATACATCGACCAAAAGAACATATTACATGTATTGTTATTCATGTTTCCAACGCTTAATGGACATCCTTCTCCCGACCAACCGCCTTAAGACAGTATCCGTTATCTATTTGAACCACATTAAACCAAAGATGAAATTCTTAAGACATCAATAAACTACAGCAACATGACACCTTAAAAGTTAGTGGACAATGTATATGAATGGAAATTATACATCATATTTGCCATCAACATCGAAATTGAGCCAAATTCGGATATAAGATCGCAAATGCTTGTCCTTTGACGTAGTGGGATAATCTATCCTTCTTTGATCAAACAGGACATGAATTTATAACTTTAGACCAATGTCAGATTAGTCACATTAAATCTTTCCATCTCATTTTATTCCTGGATGTTATTTCTAGAACTCGTTGATTGTCCCTACCCTGTGGAACATTCAGTATGCGTCATATATTCCTCTACACACAGCGACAAAACACACCGCAATATAAATCCGGCAACCAAAATTTCATAAGCAGTCACCACCTTAATACATTCAGAAGGTTAAGTTTTTTTCATGAATATTAACATTAATATATGTCCCAACACGACACTTTTAAGCATAGAATTCGTTTACCATACTCTGAAAAACGCCAGAAGCCTGAGAGCTGTACGTGTGATAACAAGTACAGAATGGGTTACATATCATATATGAATATGTACCTTAAGGCTTTATACATAATTATATTTATAAAACGACGACTTGGAGTTTTTCGTCCCCAAAGACACACAATGAAAAATTAGGCGCGTCTTTTCACACTTATTCATATAAGACGCAATATTTGTGAGTCAGTTTGGTTCAGTAACAGTTTTATTATGATGTAGAGGAGAGACTTGAACCAAACCAGAAAGAGTTATTGATAGCATAAGCGACGACACACAACCATACATAGTCACTATTCCAATATAATGGATTATACCAGCATATAAAGGTGTACCCCATCCCAACCCAAACTCAAAGGCCTCAAGCAATACACATAGGAAATAGTGAGTGAGTGAATTTAGTTGTACGTCGCACTCAGCAATATTCCAGCTATATGGCGGCGATCTGTAAATAATCGAGTCTGGACTATACAATCCAGGGATCAACAGCATGAGCATCGATCTACGCAATTGGGAACCGATGACATGTGTCAACCAAGTCAGCGAGCCTGACCACCCGATCCCGTTAGTCGCCTCTTACGACAAGCATGGGTTACTGAAGATCAATATTCTAACCTGGACCTTCACGTGTCACATAGGAAATACATCTGACGTTACAGATCTGCTAATGTAATATTTCATGGCAATCGGCAACAATGAAACAAAGTTCATTAACACAAATCAACAGTACATAATGCAGAAAGAGGATGATGTCTGAACAGTCAAAAGGTTCTGAATGAGAAAGCACATATATCTATCTATTTATCTGCTGATGGGTGAAGAATGTATTGGGATTAGTCAATATAAGACGAATTGACTGTTCGTTTCATCGATAATGAATCACTCATGACTGAACCAGTCTAACAGTATAAAACTTGGTACTAGAAGCGATTCCGGTGACTGAACCAGTCTAACAGCATAAAACTTGGTACGTAGAAGCGATTCCGGTGAAGTCTCTGTAGTGTATCGTCATGTACCAAAGTCACAAACTGGTACATTGTTTTCAGACCTATCACAAACCATTATAATAATAATAATAGCATTCTTATACCGCGCATATATCCATGTCTAAGCATGCTTAAAGCGCACAAGCAATCTGATTATTATTACCCCGGATATTCCAAGCTGCCCGTGAAGCGCTAGAAGGTTAATAGCCACATGACTTATCCCACCGGGTACCCATTTTCTGCTGGGTGAACAGAGGCAATTTTGAACAAACATACAGATGTGACGTAGCCCCTTCACCTCTGTTTTTTTCATGCATTAAAATGAGTGGACTTGAACCATGAAGTGTCTATGTGCTTTTCTGTTTGGAAATCATCGAAAAAGGTATGAAATTGTTACAGTTAGAGAGTTTCACGCCGCATACACATGGCTGACATATATAAGGTAAGATAAATTTGCACTGGAATCTTTGTGGAAAACACTATTGGACAATGCATGCTCTGTAAAAGGTCACGTCAATACCAAACTAAGTGATAGGGAGCAGAGCATAGATACGGTTACAAGAGCTGGCGTTTCTATCATCGTATGATGATAATCACTAATCTGTGATTTAATCGAATAAACCGACGTTACAATGGTCATGGCAACGAGTTGATATTGCAAATACAATAATGTTTTGCATTGTAAATTTTGTAGCCAAACATGAATATGTAATTTAAGACTTTGTCCAGGTGTTTCAACTTGCACAGCACAACCTTTTCTTGGTTTTGTATTTTCTCTCTCCAAAAGTAGTATTGCGTTATAACTGGAGGAAGTCAAATATGGAAGGACATATTGATTTTCAACAGTTTCTCCCGAAACTGAGAGTCGGGAGGCATCATATTTTTCATACTATCATCATGGACATTAACTGTCACGTTTGTGATTCACAGGTCTAACTGCAGTATGAATATTTCGCTTGACTTGATTTTGGAACAATCCATCAATTAAAGATGAAAAGAAATACGTGAATAAAGGTGTTGTTTGACAAATCAACTTAAACAAACCACATTCGGCAGCTTCTTGTAGTTGTCTTAAAATTAAACAATTTGTCTTGATTTCCGTTCTGGTAATAGAACCATCCAGCCAAAGAACATTATGATACTTTCATGCGTGCAGAACCTGTAACATGTTATGACAATAATCTAATATTTACTTTAAAATATGTAGCAGTGTTAGAAATTATCACCGACCCATTGGCCATGGCTGGTAACTTTCATAATGGACGAGTGAAATATTGCTGCTGGATACTTAACTGCAACAGGGAGTTTCTTGGACCCTGTTCACGAAGATTATCGTAGCGCTACGACTTCATTAACTCCTAACACCATAGACTTACAGTAGCCACATCCCTAGATTAACTGGAAAAAGACATTGTTGGATCAGTCTTAATGCATATTATACTCTGTATGCCATGATTAGGTGTTACAAGACTAGAAAGTCATTTTGCATCTTTACACCTGTACTGGAAAAAATAAAATGTCCCTAAAGTTTAGTGGACATGTAGATAAATTGTATATGTATTCTGATAATACGGAGAATCACATGACCATCCAAATATTGATTTTTGAGCCCTAGGCTTAATAAGAAGTTCATTGTTTATCTATTAGCAAAACAAAAGGATAAATGATAAGAAATTGGTTAGCCTTCTTATCAACCTGCACTTGAAATTTCAAGGACTTGTAGATCATGCCGCCATGTAGTCTCCTCTCTCCGCCCGACGAGCTGTTTTTTCCATCATGGGGTTGTTCTTATAGAGTCGCCATAGATTCTGTATGATATCACCGAGGACTATCTCATTGGTATTCTTGCCGACCACTCGCAGGACGAAGATGCCGTCACTCCGGAGATACTGCTCTGCAAACTTTCGAGCCAACTTCCGGTCTTCGTCTCCGTGAAGCTCGTCCATGACCTTGAGATACTTCTTGACATAACCGAATTGCTTCACGCGCACATTGTTCCTGACAATCCAGAACAGGAAGTTTGCAATGGTAATGGTTGCCACGCACACGTACCAGAACCACAGGAAGGCAAAGATTCTTTCGTTTAGGATGTTGTACGGCAGGTTGCAGTGGATTGTGTAGGGTTGGACGTTTGTGAACTGGCGGACCTTGAAGTCGCATAGCGTTTCGAACGGGAAACGGGGAGAATTCAGCATAAGGTCGCTGTTGTCCGCCATGAGCGAATTGATGACTTCGAAACCATACAAGCTGTACCATTGTCCAAGGAAGGCATTCAAGAGGTAGAGCTGACTAAGAACTACCACAATGTAGAGAAGCTTAATGAAGACATAAAGTCGCGTGAGATACACTCCATCCCGCTTGCCGCACATGCAGCAACAGAGTCTGGACATCCTGTGACGTATGCGCACGCATATGTTCCAGTGGTAGTCCCTGTGAGCCTGAAGCCATCGGTTGATATACTGCGCAATATGCCTAATCGTTTCTTCCGACTTCTCGGCTGGACATAGTTGGGTGTCAACCGCCATAGTAACCAGCTTATCAAGGCTCAACCCAGTCGCGCCATTGAGCAAACGCCAGAATACAGACGGAAGCTTGAAAAGGAATGCCATGAAGAGGAGGATTATGGGAACCCATTGGTAGTACGGAATTTCGGTCGACTTCCGGTGTTCCTCTTGAGATGGGATCACTTCGTCGATGTGAACATAGTAGGTGTTTTTAACCCAGCAGAGTGACTTGACATAGGCAACCCTCGCTGCCGAAAAATCTGGTGGACAGAAACATTCAATAGGATTGCCAAGGAACTGACCATAGCCAACAAACACAGCAAATACGGTCAGGATGATGACAGTGTACAGGTGATTTAGTCGGTCTACCCAGTCATCGTCACAGCTGGACCGGAGCTTTGCAAACGTGGCAAAACCACCCAAAATGTAGTTGATGCTGAAAATAAAAAGAACATGATGAGGGATTTTTCGGTAAACATGATTTTTGGAGTAAAAGTCGTCATGTTATGAATAAAGTATATTCATTTGCATAAAAAAAAAGTGATTCCTGGTCGGATTGTGAAACCTCAGCGTGTAATGATGCATTTTGCCTTTGAGAACCTTACCAATTCTACTATTTCATCTCATATTGTGGGTTAGTAACCTTACTGGTGAGAGTTCAAATTTAAGATCACATCGTTTTTATTTTAACCATATACCGAGGAGACCAAGTCTACACATAAACATAAGTCCATTATAAATACAAAGTCATATTTAGGAATTTCTGTATATACACATTTCAGGTTTAGAATATCATTTACAATTTAAAACACCATCACATGCACAGCAAATTTATAAACAAGCTATTAGTTATAGACATACACATTTACAGACATGAATAGTTGTGGCTGGTAGACATTACGGTTTATGTCAATATTGGTAATGATTTTCAAAAGATTTTAAATACGATTTCTCCAGTAAATGCTGTACATGTGTGCTTTTTTGAACCACCAGGTGACATAAATGTCATAAACTGATCTAGGACAGATAAGTCAATCTACTGCACAAATACCCTTATGGTTCAGTAAAACAAGTTCTTATAAATCGTAATTATCATGTTGAAGAAATATGAAATGTTGGTCTCTTCTTCGTTAAGGCATTTAGACTTAGTGTGTGCTATATGATCATAGGAAAAAATACCAAATGATCATAAAACCGTAAATTTTGTTGACTACAAATTAGGTACTGTATCTGAAGCGTTTGAATTTGTTTGTTAAAGATACATTTTGCTAAATAAGCCCCACTGCAAGATCATACCATACACAACTACTTAAGAAAATAGTATACTAAAGATCTCTTTATCTGAAGAAGTATGTTCAGCCAGCATTTTAACTGATGAGCACTCAAATACTTACGACATGGCCTTGCTTTTCCCACATACACCTACTAGTAGTTCAGTAGTGTGTGAATATGATCCCTGGAGACAGGACAGCTGAAATATATGAAATTACGGTCACCTTCCTAATAAATAACATTACTGGTTACAGCATAAAGGCATGCACTTATCAAACTTGGAGGGTCACTAGTGAAGTAGGACCCTTTTTACTGTATATGTTTTTCTTAATATGGAATCACTGGTCATATTTTTCAAAACTATTATTTGCCAGGTAATCATATAGCCCTCACTAGATCTAATTGTGCTTTCACTGTACTTTCAATCTGTATGACAGAATGATATGCAGATGACTGTAAACATATACACAGGATTCCTGACTCTCCAAGACAATCTGTTGGTAGAAACATTAATTCATGTTCCCATTTCATATTTATTATACATGAAGGATTAGGGAAAGCCAGAAAAACCAGCATGTTGCGTTAACAGCTACTTCGAAGCCAGTCCTTGACAACAAGAGTAGTCTCCCTTAATCAACATTTTCCAAACAAGCAACGTAACCAGCTGGTGGTGTTTAGTGCATTCAACCCAGTAGAAACGTACAGTCATCAGATGGTCGTGATGAATTACCTCTTCAGTGCATGTGTGTGCAATTTGTAAGCATTAATATATTGCCTACTGACAATAAATACAAAAGTAAATTCAAATCTAGCAAGCCTAGAAAACGCGTTCAGTACCTCTGTGGAGCTCGGGGGGACAAAAGTTGGCTGTAGAATTGAACGGTACCTATTCGCTTTGGTCATGTGCGAAAAGAGAAATACATCATGACATTAAGAAGGGCTTATACGTACTTCATCTATGAAGATAAGGTAGATCTATTTTCAAATATTTTCCCTTTGCTGCCCAACGACACTAAAATTGTTGGCTGGTTTCTGAAAAATATGGTTTCAGGGATCCCTGATCCCTGCTTTCATAGTCGACAAACATGGTGACAAACACAATGGAAACAGTTTTAATGAACGGCTGAACTAGCGCTAAAGGCAAAGCTTGAAATCGGTTTTGTTGAACGCAGTAAGTTCGTATATTCATGGCACCATAGTCAACATTTAAACAAACACTTGCTTGAAAGATATCATTATTATCAATTGAAACGATTCTCTTTCAAATTTCACTTACCCAAACCCTTTCTCTCTCACAGTATGCCAGGCAAATAGTCTTGACTGCAAATTCCTGAATGTGTTACCGCCATTCACAACTTTCACAACCAACAGCCTTGACCTTTGAGGGTTCTGACGTCACGTCCGGTCACAGACTGCCTGTAGAAGGGGATGTGATGACAAACTACATATGAAAGCGACAAGCAGCAGTGATTGATGGGCCCATTGGGCAACGAACATGTTATCAAGTACACATAACATGGTTTCAGTTCTCATTCTGGTAACAAACACTGACTAAAAAATATAATTATAGTTTTGGTCCACTGTTAAAATACCATACTCAAAAACTACATTGTAATTGTAAATCAGCTAAACATGCTTAAATATATATTTCATGATATCATTGGTTTAAAAAAGTGGCTTTGAAAATAATGTAGCAAAATATAACCATGATCGTGATCCATGCTGATTCATTATCGTTGGATATTATATATGTTTTTGGAGATAGAGAGATCTCGCGAGAGGGGGAGGGGGTGTGTTGGTTAAGTATGAACAATGTGAAAATTGCTGACCTCCGTAGTACACGTGTACAAAATTGACGATACCCCACCCTCACACACACACGGATGAGCCCTTAACATCAACCCCACCCCCACCCCCCCCCCACCACTATTCATAAATTATTAACGACCGCTACGCAGTGAATACGCGCCCTTTCTAACATTACTCGTCACAATATGCAGCATTGCCATTTTGAAAATATGAGGCAAATTAACCAGCTTGATTTTAACCAGTTTTTGATCACCATAGATGAATTGAAGTAATTTAAACATGTATTTTTCGCAATAGTTAACCCACGGGATCCCAACAGGCCATTTTGCTATACACGGCATATATACATCTGAATGTAAAACAGAATCAATCACTTACGCTGATGAAATCGATCTATTCGGATCCATCCGCCATCTTTATTCTGTGGATTCAGGAGGGTAAGGCACGGAAAAAACGAGACACATCTAGATGAAAATCAGATGCACAGCTGGTATATTTTACTGTTTCTCGCTGATGTATTTTAATGTGTTGAAATCTCATCATCCGACAAATAATCCAAGAATTAATCATGAACATGTCGACCCAGTGAACATGTTTGTCTGTTTCCACAAAAATTCTCGCTTGGCGTATAAAACAGCTAACAAGCACAAAATCGTGTAATTATTATTCTGCTTTACGGAATGTAGTTTTTTTCATGCCTTTTAAGATCAAATGAAGTTCAATCGACCATATATTTATTAATAGTATATATACATACATCAGTTTGGACATATGTAATTGCTTTTTTAAAGAAATTCAATGATTTATGAAGCGTTTCATGAATTGAAACTCTATACCATAAAATTCAACATGTGTGCGTTTACGCACAAACAACAGAAATAATTACAAATTGTTTTGTCAAAGAAGTGTTAAAATAAGTAAGTGGTAGTTTTGACAATTCTGATTTCTCCGTGAAGATGCCAGCTATACCATTGGCCTTCAACAACCCCTGATTGTAGGAGGCGACTAACGGGCTTGGGTGATCAGGTTCCCAGTTGTGTAAATCGATGCTCATGATATTGATCACTGGATTGTCTGGTCAGACTTGATTATTTATAGGCCGTCACCGTTTAGCTGGAATACTACTGAGTGTGGCATTAAACAACAAACAAACAAATCATTGGTCTTCAGCAGCCCCTGCTTGTATGTGGCGACGAACGCGATCGAGTAACCAAGCTTGTTGGTTCATGTATATCATTGTATCCCATGTGTGGATCTGGATATTTTGGCCCAGAGTCGCTTATTTACAGACCGCTGTCGGAACAATGTTGTGTACGGCGTTAAATAGCAGACAACAAACAAACTGAAAGAACAACGGTCAGTTGGAACATGACGTCACTGGGCACTGTGTCTTGCAGAATAAAGTGCTAATTCTAGAGGTCGTTGATCGACCACGTTCGAGTAACATACGAGTAAGCGTATGTTGCCAACAACAGACCGATATCGATTAGAATCATGGAATCTGCGTAATTAGCAATCTATAAGCGGATTCTGGTTCGGCTAAGGGAGATAATATGTACAGTATATAGCTGTAATTTGACGCTTGGCACCGGAGTCCCGTCCCTGGGAGAGAACTGTTTTCGAAGAGTAAATACACAAGGTTGTAAAACAAAATAAATAAATATTCATACACCCAGGTCAGAGTGCGATTGAGTGAGTGAGAGAGTTTGGTTTTACGCAGCTTTAAGCAATATTCCAGCAATATCACAGCAGGGGACACCAGAAATGGGCTTCACACATTGTACCCATGTGGGGCATCGAACCCCGGTCTTCGGCGTGACGAGCGAACGCTTTAACCACGAGACTACCCCTCCGCCCAGGTCAGAGTGTATGCAGCGGTGTCTTAAACGACCGAAACAGCGTGCCCTGTCTCCTACGAACGTGAAGACCATATTTATATATTGTCATATCTGAATATTCAGGGAGAGGGCTCAGTGATGTGTATTAGACGTTGGAGGGCCAACTTAGTATATGTACACAGTAGTAACGGGTGTCATCTATATTGTACAGGATGTTCTAGGTCTGTCCTAACTACCAACACCACTTCCATCACTTCACACCCACATGTTACATTTTCGGTGAGTGAATTTGGTTTTACGCCGCTTTTAGCAATATTCCAGCAATATCACAGCGTGTGTGTGTGTGTGTGTGTGTGAGTGACACCAAAAATCGGCTTCCCACTTTGTACCCATGTGGGAAATCGAACCCGTGTCTTCAGCATGACGAGCGGACGCTTTAACCACTAGGCTACCCCACTGCCCCTGTTAATTAGTTGATTGTAAAATGTAGTCTGCCATTTTAATGACGGTAGATAAATTGTTGTCTAGTGGATGCCTGGAATCAAAATAATCTTTTATCATTTACCTGGTGTGCCATCACACTTTGGAAATATCTTGTAGTCTCATGTACAAGTGGGATTTTTAACACAGGAACATGTCAATAACACTGTGTACTAACAAACTCTCAAATGCTGCCTCGTCTACATGTTTGTTGATGTAGCAGTTACATTGTCCTTTGACTGCAGACGCACTGGCGAGATGGGGTTATCCTCTCCTGACAGATGACAGACGAGGATGGATAGATCCAAAACAATGGCTGTTCTGATCTCCGTGCTGCGCGTTCTGGCGAGGTGTTGAGTGATCTCTTTGCTGACTCGCGTGTCCGCATGTAGATATAGCCTCGACCAGTGAACTTGTGTTTACGTTTTTGTTCTACGTGTTGTTTATCCTTTAGAGTGAGTGAGTGAGTATGTTTTTTCCACGCTTTTAGCAGAATTCCAGCAATACCATCACGGGGACACCAGAAACGGGCTTCACACATTGTACCCATGTGGAGAATCGAACCCGGGTCTTCAGGTGACTAGCGGACGCATGAACCATTAGGCTACCCCACCGCCACTTATCTTTAGAGGAAACATATGATGCACAGAAGCTGTAGTGTAGCGTTGTGGTTTGAGGGTTTGCTGGACATGCCGTAAGTTAGGGTTCTATTCTCCAGTTACTGCAGCCCATCTCTGTTATCCCTATGGTGTTGGACTAATGCCAAGCCATGCAAATCTCACCCACTTAATCGCTATAATCAGATTGTGATGTGAACAATTTCTAACCACATTTTATTGTAAAAACAATAGTTAATGCCTCTTATCAAAGTTTTCTTGTTGTCATAATGGCTGGCGTGCTCTCACCCTAAGCGGATACAGAAGGGGGTGCGCAGCCCCACTTATGTCCTGAAAGTTTATTAAATGACCATTGAAACTCGGGAGAAAATGAAATGTACACCCTCCCTTTTCTCAATAGTATGCACCCCTCCTTTCTAAAAACTGTATCCGCCCCTGTCACCTGGGATGCCCACTGAATTACAGGTCTACAAGACTACGACTGAGTGCTGAAGACCAATGTTTTGTATTTTGTGTATCTCCACACTCAGCAATAGTCCATTTTTATGGTGGCGGTCAGTAAATAATCGAGTCTTGACCAGACAATCCAGTGCTAAACAGCATGAGCATCGATCTATTCTACGCAATTGGGAACCGATGACATGTGTCAACCAAGTCAAGGAGCCTGACCACCCTATCCCGTTAGTCGCCTCTTACGACAATCAATTCTAACCCATATCTTCATAGGTTACAAGACTACCACGTACAGTAGGACAGACAATATCTCAGTTTCACACAGAGCCAATTGATTACCAATTCCACGAGAAATTTCCTGACAGATATAAGAGGGTCGGGTAACGAGGCTTGAACATGGGGATCAAGGCTGGCACCAGGACGCACGTTTCACTTGGTTTCAATGAGTTTAAGATGATATCACAGAAGGGGATTGTAATGTTAGATTGACATGTTCTGGGGAGTTAGGGGGGTCATCAATGTTGTACACATCTACTAGGGGGGTCAGCAACTTTGTACATAACCATTATTAAAAAAATATGCTAAAAAATTATGGGAAGGGGAGGGGGTCATTGATTTTGTACGTGACATGCAGGGGTGTCACTTACTTTGTACATAAAGTTTAGGGGGGTGGGGGGCGTCATTCACATTGTACATGCTTCTCCATAAAAATCATCATCACACACACACACACACACACACACACACACACACACACACACACACACACCGCCATAAATTATGAACGGTCCCTTAGCAACCTACCCGTATGGTTGTCAGGGGCGACTAAGTGGATCCAGCTTTATGATTTGGCTTCCGTGTCCTTGTATCCACATACGTGGTTCTATGTTCATGCCAATCACTCGATTGTCCAGTACACACGCGATTATTTACTGACAACGTAAAATAACGAAATATTGCCGAGTGGGACTTGAAAACTTGAAATGAACAGGGGCGGAGAGGGTGCCCAAGTCCCTGTGCATGACTACCAGACGTCAACTCTTGCAATTTGTTAACTGTTATGTGTAACCAGGGCCGGATACAGGTTATTGAGAAAGCGGGGTCATTTGATAAACTTTCAGGACAATAATTGTGGTCTGCGCAAATGCAAACATATATGGATCCGCCTTAGGGATCCGCCTATGTGTAACTACCAGTCCTTGATGTATA